AATGGAGGTACACTAGAATTATTCATTGAGCATGTAATTGAGATACTTGAGGTTGTTGAGGGAGTATATTTATTGGATATGGGTGGTGTAGGGGCAAATGTGGTAGGGGAAAATCTAGGAGGGACAAATGTGAGAGATCAAAACCTAGGAGGGGCAAATGAGGAGACATAAAACCTAAGTGGGGAAAGTGCAAATGAGGAAAGATAAAATCCAGGTGGGAAAAGGGTAAGTGCAAATGTTGCTGGGGCCAATGTAAATGAAGGGGAGGTTGAGAGTAGCAATTCTGCAGATGAAAATAGGGAAGAGTTTAGTTCTAAGGAAGATAGTGACTTTGAGCCTAAAGTTGATGAAGATGATGTTGAAGATGTGGATGTAGAATTAAGTGACGTTGATGAAGAATTAAGGGCTACAAGAGAAACTATTATAAATTATAGAAGAAGATCTAGAGCTAGGGTGGAAGAGGACATTGAAGATGTTCCTCAAGGTAAAGATGGTACTGACTTTGGGTTTACGAGAGAAGATAGTGTAAACAATAAATTCAAAGGGGTAACTAGGGGTGGAACCTTATGTAGATTCTTTTGATCCTGATTCAAGAGAGATTACTGATGATGAGGAAGGAGTGGTGATTATAATAGGAAAGAAAGAAAAATCCATTATGAGCCTACAACACATGTTCCATATTGGGAACTTGGTATGAGATTTAAGTCTGTGGACCTATTTAGGAAATCATATGCTAAGTATAGGGTGGTCAGGGGTGTAGATCTAAATATTAGACCAAATGAGACATATAGGTTTAGGGCTAAATGTAGGCAGGGCTGTCTTTGGTTGCTTTTTGGAATCAAGGAAAGTAGTACAAAAAATTTCATTATAAAGACCTACAACCCTACAGGTGTTTTAGAACTAATAGGAACAAATTAGCTAACTCTAGTTTCATTGATAGACATTTTAAAGAGAGGATTTATTCTCAACCTGGTATAAAGATAAAAGAGATATAAGATTTATGTAAAGAATAATTTAACCTTTTTATCGATAAGACCATTGCTAGGAGAGCTAAGATTAAAGCTTTGGGAGCTATCATAGGTGATTATAATGTGGAATTTGCTAGACTACATGATTATGCAGATAAAATTAGTAGGTCCAACCCAGGTTTCACATGCTTTGCAAAGTGCAGAAGGATTGAAGAGGGGTTGCAATCATTTAAGAGATTTTATATACGTTTACATGCTTACAAACAAGGTTTTCTTAAAGGTGTAGCTCAATATTTGGTGTAGATGGTTGTTTCCTTAAGGGACCATATGGTGGCCAATAACTAATGGTTGTCTCCAAAAATAGAAACAATCAAATGTTTCCTATAACATGGGCTTTAGTGGATGTGGAAAATACAAAAAAAAAAAGATTATGGTTCATATCTACTTTGAAGCAGGACTTGGTATCACCACTGGTTTAGGTTAAATAGTGATGATAGATATGCAAAAGGTAACGTTTAGCTATTTCAATTCTTTTTTTTTCTATCTAAATATTTTGTTTGCACTTATAATGTTATTTTCTTACCTTGTATTGTTAGGGACTAGACAAAGCAATTGGACAGAGTTGCCAGAGGTACAACAAAGAATGTGTGCTAGACATATATGGACTAATTGGAATAAGAAATGGAAGGGTGAGGAGAGAAGAAGTTTTGGGAGGTAGCAAGAGCTCCCTTTGAAATGATGTTGATGGACAAATTAAAAGACATGAGTGAACTAGAAGAACAACAAGTTGTGGATGGCTTGTTATATTATAATCATAACACTTGGTGTAGGGCCTTTTTTAGCAAACAATTTGAGTGCGATATTATGGAGAACAAATATCTATGAAATATTCAATTGTTGGATCCTTAGTGCTAGGCTAAATTCTATTATAACTATGATGGAGGAAATTAGAGTACAAGTTATGGAAAGAATTAGAGTAATGAGGGAGTTTGCAAATACATGGATATGTGATATATCCCCTAAGGCTATGGAGAAACTGGAGATGCATAAGTTGCTTTCAATGCATTGCCATCCTAGATGGAATGGGGATATAATGGATTTGAGATTGTGAAAGGAGAGTACCAACACACAGTTTGTTTGAGAAAGATGCTTTGTACTTGTAGGTCATGGGCATTGAAAGGAATCCCATGTCAGCATGCCATTTGTTCCATGTTTCATAGGAAATTGGATCCTGAAAATATGTTGTTATTTGGTATAGAAAGGAGCAATACTTGAAAGCCTATAAGTATAGCATACAGCCTGTTAGAGGCATGGAGCTATGGCCTGAATCAATAAACCCTGTTATATTACCCCAGAACCCAAAAAGGCAAAACCTAGTAGAAAAAAGATAGTTAGGAGAAGGGATAAGGATGAAGGAAAAAGATTTGGAAAATATCAAAGAAAGGTGTGTTAATGACTTGTGTCTTATGCAAAGGATCAGGACACAACAAAAGAGATTGCCCATAGAAGAGAGCAAGTTCAACCTAGGTGCAACTTAATAAATTTAATATACTTGTAATGGTTATTTAAATGTAATTATTGTTTATAACTATTTGCTTTAGAAATTGCAAAATATTGGAACACAGTTACAAGTGCAATCAGAGCCCCATCTTAGCTAGCAGTCAAGTGGCTTGGGCGTAGACACTAGTGCACCATCCATCAGCACTCCATGAGGCATTATATTGTCTTCTCAGATTTTTCGTTTGTGCAAATATGTTGTGTTATTGAATGTCAGTTATTGTCTACAAAATAGCTACAGCCTGAAGTGTGTTTTGTATATGTTGAACATGTAGAAACAATTTGAGATCAGTAAGAGGAATGCTAGAACACCAAGCACTACTGTCATCGATCTAGTAGTCACAGCAATTCAGATATGGCTGGAAGTGCAGCTAGAGAATATATAAGTGCGATAGGCACTAGCAGTGCACCACCCATTAACATTATAGCAGGCATTTGGCTTTTGTTTTTCATGAGTTGTTCTTTATGTCATTTTTAGACAAACAATTGTATTGTGCTGTTGGATTTTATGTATTAATTAGAAATTGTAAATTTTCAATAAGTAGGAGCAATCTGAGATCATTTAAGAGGAATGCTAGAATAGTAAACACTGATTGTCATCGATCTAGCACTCAAAGCAATGCAAATATGGCTAGGAGTGGAAGCAAAACAACTTCAAGTGGAATTGGCACTGCTACTGCACCTTCCAGACCCCTAACAACACTCCAATAGGCAATCTTTTTTTTTTCCTATTTTGATATACCACTCTTGTTTCCATTGGAAAAGATACTGACTTGTGTTGCAAGTTTGGTATTGAAATGGAAATTAAGTATTTGAGTTTTGTGCTGTGAAATATATGCTTCCATTGAAGTATATGAGTCTCTCTATTCATTTCTCTCAAGTAATGCCATGCATCACACCAATCCTGGAAATGTGACTGTAACTGCTCCGATAGGCAGAGGCAGGAGGAAGAGGGTATAATGGAGGCTCATCAACAACTACAACCAGAGATATGCTAGAGAGATAGTTGTTACTGGTGAGATTGGTTTCAAACCTCCAGGGTTGAAATGGAAGGGTAAAAATGCTGTCACTGCCAAGCAACTCCAGCAACAAAGACTTGACATGTAGAGACAAAGAGAGTCAACTTCACAGCCTCAAATAGGAAGAAGAACAAATGTTTCAAGCCAAGCTTCACAAGGCAGCAACAAACCAACATAGCAAAGTGGCAATAGAGGAAATTAAACTAGGATTTCTACTTCTATTTTTGTAATAGCAAATGTTTTGGTAGTTATAACTGTATTTTGAGAAATATCAAAATATATGGCGTCTTTTGGGTCCAAACAGAAGCAATTTGTGTTATGTCTGCAAAATAGAAATCCACTTTTGTTATCCATTTTCCAGAAATTATGAATAATTATCATTTTCAGTAATGAAATCTTAGTTTGGAACGTTAGCGATGTATTTTAATTATTGCAATTTGGCTTCCAATTATTTTTTCGTATATTAGCTTAACTTATTGAAATTGAAAGCAATCAAGTTGAATTCTTAAACAATTGGACAATTGTACAAACAAATGAACAGGAACAAGCTTCATCATTGATGGAAAATTAAAATATATTAATTGTTAATTACTTCGACATGAGCGACACAGTAATAAACTACCAAAATAAGTATTTTTCGTACCGACATTACAACTCCTATTGGGTTAAAAAAGTACCAAAATATCTATATCCCATTTTTCATCCACAACAATAATAATCCATCATCAACCTCTAACCACTTCTCAAATTGTTACAATAACAAATAAAATGCAGAACCCAACAACCATCTTCCACCACATTGCATTCATCCTCTTCTTATGTTCCTCATATTTTTTGATTCTTGTAAGCAGTCCCAAAATCACGTGTTGAATATGATTGACATTGTGGATCATGCCATTGAAAGAAATTACACTCACCAAGTATTTGAAATCAATAAAATACAAAATAAATTGAAATAAAAATAAAAAGAACAAATATAATGTAGTTTCCACATATCCTAAATTTTCTACAACCATAAAATCTTCTGCCAGGATTTGCCTTAGTTCAAAATACCTTCAACACCGCTGTTTGATGACAATAGCAATTGGGAACCATATAATCAACTGAGATTTCCATCATTCTTCACTCGTGTACATATAGACCCAATTTTGCATTGAGTGGGAGACAGAGATCGTGGAATGGATCTTTTTTTTTAGCTCAAACCCTAATTTAACATGTTAAAAAATAGAGGGGAAAGCAGTTGTAAAAAGGGAGGGAACAAATTTATCCCAAATACGCTGTTTTGTCTAGGTCACTATTCTTTATCCACGTTGGTAGACTTTCATTTCATTCACGCTCTGAGATTAAATATATATGTGTGTTGCCAGTATGGAAAAGGTGTTAATTTAGTGCATCATTTTGAACATTAAATATATAATTGGTCTGCAGTAAAATTTAGTGTTACTTTGTTAAAGTTGAGGGGGAATCTATTTATATGGCCTAATCTTCGCACTTTGATTTTTGGGGCAGTGGTTAGACTGTAAGTGCTGTATAAGCCAGTGAATGAGCGACCTCCCGCCAAAACCCGCCAAGAAGAAAGCAATGGCGTCTGCAAAGACGCTTAGAGATTTCTTACAACCTGCAAAGCGCATAAAGGTATCCTCCTCTGTCGAACCTTCAAACCCACTAAATCATCAATTTAACCCAATTCCTTCCAAATCCATCACCGATTCTTCCTCCTCCGCCCTTACCGCCGTTCAACGATCGCGTATTGAGTTCAATAAACTGCGTGCAAAGGCGAAGCGAAATCTCAATCTCTGTTTACAATTAGTTTCCAAGTCCAAAAGTAAACCCTCAATCTAACTATTTTGATTTTCTAGGGTTTTTACTTGTTTCTTGATTTCATTTCTTTATATGCTCAGGCGAAGGTGTGGGTTATGTGAAATTGGAGAAACTACTAGTGGAGGAGACTTGGTTAGAAGCGCTTTCCGGGGAGCTCCAAAAGCCCTATGCGAAGACTCTTTGTAAATTTCTTGAAAATGAGATATGCAATGGCAGTGTACCCATATATCCACCCCAACACTTGATATTCAATGCTCTCAACTCCACCCCTTTTGACGGTGTCAAGGCTGTTATCATTGGACAGGATCCTTACCATGGTCCTGGTCAAGCAATGGGCCTTTCATTCTCTGTTCCTGAGGGAATCAAACCGCCTTCAAGTCTTGTCAACATTTTTAAGGAACTTAAACAAGATCTTGGCTTTGCTATACCCTCTCATGGAAATCTAGAACGATGGGCTATTCAGGTATACTTAAATCTCTTTGCCCTTGTTGTTTAAATTTATTACATGCTGTGTTATTCTCACTTTTGTTCTCAATAATCTCTCTTTTTCTCATTTGTTGATAGTTCTTTGTTATACTCTCTATCTGATTAGATTTCCTTATCTCAACACTTTAGCATCATTCTGTCAGTGCTGTCGCAGTTAAGTGTCATCATTTGTAGTTTTTGAGTCTGAATTTCATAAATTTGATAAATATAAACAAGGCTTCCACTCATGTGATGACGGTTCATATACAAAGGCTTTTTTTTTTTTTTTTTTTTTTAGTTTTTGAGTCTGAAGTTCATCAAATTTTGATAATAATAAACAAGCTGCCACTCAGTGATGACGGTTCATATACACAAGGGCTTTTTTTTTTTTTTTTTTTTTTTTTTTTTTCATGGTATTTTTCCTGTTGTATAAAAACTCAAAGGTCATAGTAAGAAAATGGAATGCTTAGCTCACTTATGAAATGCATTTGGTTTGATCCCACTGAATGTTTCTTGAACGAACTAGAAAGACTGATCTCTCTGCCCAAGCATTGCTGTTCTTCCTTGTTTTTTACTACATTTAACCCACCATTTGTTTGAGCGAGTTTTAATTTTGTCTGAAATGGTTAAAAAAGGTGGATTTAGTTTTTTTAATGCAAAAAAGTTACCATAGTTCCAAGAGATCCTCAACAGAGTCAATAGATAGTTTTCATGGAAATCTTATTTTGCGTTGATTATGATGATTCCATGATGGTAATTCTTGTGCAAGATCATGAATGTTTTTATTCAACCTCTTCAAAAAAGATAAAATGAATTTCTCGAAGTTCACAGATATGACTCTTTCCCTTTCACCTACACATACGAGAAGGCTTACTGAAGCGTTCAGACATTATTATTGATTGTGCAATGTCCTGGTCTTCTTTATCCTCCAGGTTTAGCTATTTTAAGAGACTATTTTGATTTGAAAAATTAATTTATTAACAGTATTGTTAAGGAAAATCAATATACTACTCGTATTCCTAATTAGTTCCTAAGTATATTCCTAATTAGTTTATGATTTGTATTCCTAAATAGCCAGGTAGCCTAGGAATTCCTTTTATATAAACCTATGTAATCGATTGATGAGATACAAGAAATACAACTACAATATTTTCTCTTAACATGGTATGAGTTACCCTCCCTCTCTTTCTTTCCGTTTCTCTTTCTTTCTTTGCACGATTTCCTCTCTCCTCTTACTGCCGGCCAACACTGATGACTGAAAAGGGACTCCCCAGCGACGACACGAGCTCCTTTGCCACCTCATTCTCTCTATCTCCTCCCTTTGTTGTTGTACTTGGTTATCATGCGTTCAAGATAATGAGCTTCAAAGGATTTTAGTTCTGTTTTCCGTCAAGCCAAACGATTTCCGGCAACAACCTTCAAATAGCTATGCCAAGCCAGCTTCAGTGTAGTGGGTGTCAGAGCATTCTTCTTTATCCATGAGGTGCAGCAAATGTCTGTTGTGCTTATGTAATACAGTTACGTCTGTACCTCCTATAGACGAGCAATTGCAGAACTCACCGTTGAGAAAAGATGGGATCGATGAAGCCACTGAAACTACCCTCAGAATCTACGGCTGTGATTTGATTCAAGAAATTTGTAGTTTACTTAGATTACCACAAGCTGTTATGGCCACTGGTCAAGTACTACTCCATCGTTTCTATTCCAAGAAATCATTTGCTTGATTCAATGTCAAGAAAGTTGCAGCCAGTTGTGGTTGGCTTGCGTCAAAACTACAGGAAAGCCCTAGAAAATCAAGGCAAGTCATTATTGTTTTTCACTGAATGGAATGCAAGAATTTAACCCGGGAGTTTTTGGACCTAAGTTCAAAGAAATTTGCAGAGTTGAAGGTGGAACTGAGCAGAACACATATTGAAAGAGATGGGTTTTGTTTGTCATGTTGAACAACCTCACAAATTTATTTCAAACTACCTTGCGACCCCTTGGAGCGCCTGAAGAATTGAGGCAGGAAGCTTGGAATCTCGCAAATGATAGTTTGTGCCAACCTTGTGTGTTCGTTTCAAGAGTGAGGTTGTGGCTTGTGGGGTTGTATATGCTGCTGTCCGCAGGTTCCAAGTACCTCTTCCTGAGAACCCACCATGGTGGAAGGCATTTGATGTAGATAAACCTGGGAGCGATGAAGTTTGTAGAATTCTAGCTCACCTTTACAGCCTTCCTAAGGCAAAGTACATATCAGTCGGCAAGGATGGAGATTTTTCTTTTTCTAGCAAGTCTTCAGATTCTCAATTGCAGCCAGTTCCAAAGGTGATTTTATAATGCTTTTTGTACTTAAAATTTTTATTTCTGGCTTTACCCTGTAAATCTCTTTTATTTCTGGTTCTACTCTGTATCTTTTTGTTTTGTTATCCTGTCATAAAAGATTGCCAGTAACAAGAAACTTCCTGACTATGCTACCCTCTTTTCAATTTGCCATTCATTGTTGTTTCAATTGAAAAAAAAAAAAAAAAATCCAAAACTTCCCTTGCGAGAAGCCACTGCCACCCTAGGAAGCCTTTCTAGGGTTAATATTTTGCCTCACCGCCTACCTCAGGATATTCTCCAGCCGCCTATCAGCGCCTCCCAAGAATCCGGTCGCCGGATTCAAAGCGAATGGCCCCCGCGCCACCTCTTTCTTCTTGCTCTGGTTCACGCGTGGCGCATGTCCAGTGGTCTTTTTCACTCCGATTCCTCTCTCCGGCATTGACTTGAAGAGAGATGTGAAACCCAATAAGTTGCATCATCATTCTTGGGCTTATTCAATAGATTTGTTTGCTGCGATGCTGTTGCAGCTGTGTCAGCAGTCTTCTACAACTGTTGTTGCTTTAATTTGCTGAGGAAATATATTTTTCCTTTGCTGTGACAATTGGTTTAGGTAATTTTCAGTGATTTTCTAGTGATTCCTTATTGCATTAGGGTTTAGTACTGCACCTTTGCTGCATTTACGGGTATTCTGCTTTTGAACCTTCTCCTTTGTCGAGAGCAGTGCAACCCTAGCGAGTTGCATTGTGTTCTTGGCCTTCAGTGGTGTGCTCCATTTGCCAGATTTTCCTTTGCTGCGTTTCTGAATATCTGCGCTACTGGGCTTCCTCTTTATATCTGCGCTACTGGTCTTCCTCTTTGAGCATTGATTATGGAAGCTTGACACAGCCCTGTGAGTTGTTTTCTGGTTCAGTGAGATTTGTTTCGACAACCTAAGTGTGTTGTCTTGATTCTGCTACTACTATTTGGTTTGGGACTCTTTATTGCTATCATGAAGTGAGTACAGTTGCTGAGTATAGTATTGTGCTTTGCTGAAAGTAGTAGTTAGTAACAAGTTGAGCATGATTAACATCTATGCTCCAACTTGAGGGGAAGTGTTAAGGATTAGTTGTAAATAGAGTTTTATTAGGAGTTAGATTCCTAATTATTTTATGATTTGTATTGCCTAAATAGCTAGTTATTTTGTATTCCTAAATAGCTAGGTAGCATAGGAATTCCTCATATATAAACCTATGTAATTGATTGATGAGATACAAGAAATACAACTACAATATTTTCTCTTAATAAGTATGATTCCTTGTAGAGAGAGAAATTAAAAAAGAGTAACACCTATTCTACCTTAGTTTCTTTCTAAGGAAAATATTCTGATACATATGTATTTATTTTTTCCTTTTGGAAATTGCAGGGTGTTCTATTGCTCAATACTGTTCTTACAGGTAAAGTTTCTAAATTATGTAAATGAGTTCATTACTTGCTAATTTTCCAATTTTTTGCATGGTGGGACAGAAATTTGGCTTCTGTTTAAGAACTCTCAAACCTACCAATGCAATATGTGATTTGTCAAAACTTTTTCTTTTAATAAACCAATATCAAGAGAAAGTGCATCATTTCTTATTTTTTCAAGAAAGGAACAAATACAAAAAAGCCCTAAGGTTTTTGTCACTCTCTGTGTCTTTTTTTTTTTTTTTTTTTTCGTGAGTTACCTTATGTAAATTGCTTCACTTAAATTTATTTCGGTGACCATCTCTAATGTTTAGTCTTGTGTAAAGATGCTCATGTGGTATAAAGTAAACCTATGCCATTAATAAAAAAACTGGCTATGTGGGGCAATTCACATCTGCCAAAATATAAGTAGTTCTAAATTCAATTGCAAAAGAAGTAAACTAATGTAGAGAGAAAAAAAATTGGGGTTTGAAAACATTGAAAAGTGGTGAGTTATAGTTGAGAGTTGGGAATTCTATTCAATCTGATCTTTTTTTTTTTTTTTTTTTTTCCTGTGAAATTGTGGTACCTTGTAAATTGCTTCACTATTATTTCGGGACCAGCTTAATGTTTGTCTGTTGATGCTCATGTGGTATAGAATATGCCATAAAAAAACTGGCATGGGCATCACATCTGCCATAATAATAGTTCTAAATCAATTCAAAAGAAGTAAACTAAATGTAAGAGAGAAAAAAAATGGTGAAACTTGAAGTGGTGAGTTATAGTTGAGAGTTGGATCTATCAACTGAGTTTTTCAGTGGAAGAAGAGGTAGTGGTAGAGTTGATGGTGATGGTGATGGTGATGGTGATGCTTGAAGCAGAAAAGCAAAAGGAGAGTGGTGGTTGAAGTCGTAACCAAAGTTTAAGATATTAATAATTGCTTTTAGTCGTCTGCTGCTTCCTCCTATAAACCTTTTCATAGCTTATTCTCTTATTCTTTTTCCTTTCACTTGAGATTTGAACAAAAAGGCAGTCTAACTTGAAGACTTTCTGAAAGATTTGGAATGTTGGAGCTCTTAAACCTCAACTAACATGAGAAGAGATTTGCCTCTATATAAAGAGGAATCAACAATTACTTTCATTCACAAATCTGAAGCCATTTGACGGTCCAGGTTTGAACCCTCTTGCATTGGGGTTTGTTAGAGTTAAACAAATTGTTTATATTAGTTCAATGCCAAAATTTTGATCAAATTACTTAAGAATGACTAGAAACTCTTGTTTGGGCTTAGACCTCGTTATTTCATCAAATTTTGCATGAACTTGAGACAAAGCACAAAAATAAAATTTGGGATAAAGTTCATTTTGAAAATTAACTGACGCAAGCTTGAAACATTGGGCTTGACTTAACATTTTGATACCTCATTTTGGTGGCTTTACTTTATTAGTATGAAACTGTTACATTGTAAGTCTTCAAATTTTATTTGAATTTCTAAATTAAGCCTTTGATTTATTTTTATAATCAATCGAGTTCTCCTGTTAATGATACCTCTTCTAAATGATGGCATTGGCTACTTTTATTGTTAAATTTATTATTTGATATTACATGTAAAAAAATAATAAAAAATTAATTCAAGCAATCGTAATTAGTTGTTGTATATGTTTGTAATAAATATTCTTTTTTTTTTGTGAATGTAAATATAAAGATAGTAATATTCGACATATTGTATCTGATTTTCAATGAATTATAAACAAATTGATCATGTAAAAATTAATTTGCAGAACAAAATGATGGCTTTTTATTGATAAATTTTGTGAGAGCAATGCATGTTTAAAATCAAATCAGCTATCAACTAACAGGGAATGAAGTTTTTAGAATCTAAATTGAAGGGACACTAAAAAACTAACAAATTGCTGATCCTTTTCATTAACAAACTGGTTGGCCTGCCGGCTGGGGTCAAACAGCTATCAATTGGCCCCCAAGAGCTAAAACAAGCGCCCCCTATATGCATGTCAAATTTTCCTATGGCTAAAAATATGTTTCTTTTCTTGTACTTTTACTATCTCATATATGTTTGAATATCTGTATTTTCATATGTACATGTATAGTATTTCATTTTGGTGCTACTGTTTGAAAACTTATTGGTGGACAACTTAACACATGAACCTGTTCTGCTAGTCTTTTAATTCAGTTCAACCTTAAGAATGTATTCTAAGCACTTGTTTCTCTTCATTTATTTTAGTCAAAACAGAATGTTGCTTTTTTAACTTGTCTTTATTTTGTTCAGTTAGGAGTCATCAAGCAAACTCTCATGCTAAAAAAGGATGGGAACAATTTACAGATTCTGTTATCAAAACAATTTCACAGAATAAAGAAGGAGTTGTTTTTCTCCTTTGGGGAAACTCTGCTCAAGAGAAATCCAGGTATTTTCATTCAGTATATTCAGTACTAACTGAATATAGAGAGTATTATGCAATTCTCTGTATGATGTGATGCTTGTTTGTAAAGAGTTTTCTGCAGGGTATGATCCTTTCTAATTGTGTTATATCTTTCTGTGCCACAGTGTGCTTTAAAACTCCACTTATGTTTTATCCTTGATTTTCTTACAACTTACGCAATTTAAAACTTCAATTATTTAATTCAAGTTTTCCTAGCCATCAATGTCCGTGAAACTGTCATTTTTCAACTCAAATTCCAACTATCAAGATTAATTCATTTTCTTCTAACTTGTTGTACAATACTCCACTATGTTTGACAAATTTCTTATCTTCAGTTATGCCTTTCCATTCTTTTGAAGGTTCTAAAGTTAAGGAATTATTTGAGCCAGAATAATTTGAAATTTAATACAGGATGGCAAAGATTCAGAAGTGTAAATTAGGATCATATCATCAATTACACTATGACCCAGATTTACTTGGGTTCTATTCACTTAATAAATTTAGAAGAATGCTTGGCATTTTTTTTTAAATGGCTCGAGTACTTGATCTGCTTATAAGAATGGAGCTGCACAGGTTAATTGATGGAACAAAGCATTACATTCTGAAGGCAGCACATCCTTCTGGTTTATCTGCAAATAGAGGGTACTTTGGTTGCAGGTGAGTCTTTACTTATTTTTCTTGTTCAATGAATGAATACTTTTCAGGAAGTTAGACATTAGAATGTTGTCTTGGATTGTTGATGTGGCATTTAAAAGATATTTCTGGCATCATATTCTATACCACTCAATTCCTTTTAGGATCCACTTACTAATGAAGTCAACAAATGGATCCCCATCCTAATCAAACAACAACAACCAAGGTTTAGTTCCAAACTAGTTGGGGCCAGCTATATGAATCTTTTGTTTCAAATATTCGCTCTTGCCAAATTAATATCAATGCAAAGCAAAGTATACGTCCAAAAAAATTTTGAAATACTTTTTGTAGAAAAAGTTTGGAAGAGGAATTTAAAATCATTTGATAACAATAATCAAGCTTTAGTCCCAAACTAGTTGAGGTGTTAAGGATTAGTTGTAAATAGAGTTCTATTAGGAGTTAGATTTCTCATTAGTTTATGATTTGTATTCCTAAATAGCTAGGTAGCATAAAACAAATGGGATCCCCATCCTAACTCATACCCAGGTTTAGTTCCAGAACTAGTTGGGGCCCGAGCTATATGAATCTGTCTTGTTTAAATATTGTGGCTCTTGCACAAAATTATTTATCTTGGCAGAAGGGCAAGAGGTATACAAGAATTAACCGGAATCCAACAAATAGTTTTGAATAACTTTTTTGTTAGAAAAAATGTAATTGAGTTTAAAGAGGAATTTAAATCATTTGATAAACTCAAACTAAATATCAAGCTATATTAAAGTCTTCCCACTCAGAATGACAGAGATGTTAAGAATTAGTGTGTAAATAGAAGTATACTAAATTTAGGGAGTGTAGCCATTTCTTTCGATTAGTTTATGAATTTTGTATTCCTAAAATAGCCTAAAATCTGCATCCAGGTAGGCATTAAGAATTCTTTATTATAATAGACCTAATGTAATCGATTGACGAGTATACAAGGAGAATACACAATTACATATAATTGCTCGCAATATGGTATTCATAGCCTATCCAATTCAAAAAAAAAAAAGGAGGAAAAAACAACAAAAATATAGAAAAGAGAGTTCCTGAACATTCCTATACAAAAGAAGAAATGCCAACTTAGACTCTCCTAATGTAAGCCTTTTCAGAGGGTTAGTATTTTGGGCGCGTTTTTAAGTTAACTCACCGCCTATCCCACTAGCCGAGTATTCTCATGCCGCCATAGTTATGATTTGAAATTGTTGGAGGTACTTGAACCAATATGCATTTCAAGGTTGCTTGTAAGCTTAGTAGACCCCAGGATATTCTCCAGCCGCCGATCAGCGACTCCCCAGAATCCGGTCGCCGGATTCCAAGCGAATGGCCACCACTCGCCACCTCTTTTTTCCTGCTCTGGTTCATGTGCTGGCGCATGTCCAATGGTCTTTTTCACTCTGGTTCCTCTCTTCGACGTTGGCTTGAAGAGAGACGTGCAACCAAGTGAGTTGCATCGACATTCTTGGGTTTATTCAATAGGTTTGTTTGCTGTAATTCTGTTGCAGCTGTGTCGAGCAGTCCTCTGCTACTGTTGTTGCTTTAATTTGCTGAGGAAACATATTTTTCCTTTGCTATGACAATTGGTTTAGGTAATTCTTTGCTATGACAATTGGTTTAGGTAATTTTCGGTGATTTTCTAGTAATTCCTTTTTGCATTAGGGTTTAGTACTGCACCTTTGCTGCAAGTACGGGTATTCTGCTTTTGAACCTTCTCCTTTGTCGAGAGCAGTGTAACCCCAGTGAGTTGCATTGTGTTCTTGGCCTTTAGTGGTGTGCTCCGTTTGCCATATTTTCCTTTGCTGCGTTTCTGAATATCTGTGCTACTAGGTTTCCTCTTTGAGGCATTGATTATGGAAGCTTGAAACAGCCCTGTGAGTTGTTTTCTGGTTCAGTGAGATTTGTTTCGACAACCTAAGTTGTCTTAATTCTGCTGCTTTACTATTTGGTTTGGGAATTCATATTGCCTTATAATGAGTGGGTACAGTTGTTGAGTATGGTATTGTGCATTGCGGAAGTAGTACGTTTGTAACAAGATTGAGCATTTGATTAACATCTATGCTCCAACTTGAGGGGGAGTTGTTAATGTGAGGGGGAGTGTTAAGGATTAGTTGTAAATAGAGTTCTATTAAGAGTTAGATTCCTCATTAGTTTATGATTTGTATTCCTAAATAGCTAGGTAGCATTGGAATTCTTTATATATAGACCTATTGTTTTCGTCGAATATCCCCCAGAGGACCCGAAAACATCCTTTTTGTGATTTTTGATGAAACAAAATATTTTTATTTTGGATGCGGTGCCAATAAATCGGTCTTATAAACAATTTTGAGTCGCTACCCATTGTTTAGGCAATGAGACCGTCTTTATAAAAATGACTTCATTTTAAATCCAATTTTGTTTTAAGGCCAAATTATTTTAAAAGACTGGTCAGGTGCACCAATGCGATTCTGGGTAAGAAACTGGTCAAGCGCACCAAGGCGAGTCTGGGTAAGGGAATTGGGTACATCGGCCCGTTGGAAGCCGACGCCCGGAAAGACCGGTCTCTTTTAACCTACAATTTCTAATTTATTTTAATTTAGAAAAGCCAATTTATTTTATTAAACCCAACTCAAATAAATCGAACCGAGTTCCTATGTGGAAAATTAATTAATCGTCCCAATTGGATTCATTCATTGCATTCATAACCATTCATATTAAAAAGCAAATTAAAATCAAAAGCAATTAAACCAAATAAATAAAAGACCCGCTCTTGCCTTATGTTCAAGGCGGGCGACATAATCGAATTAAAAAATATTAAATTGGAATAACAATAAATGGACCCGCTCTTGCCTTATGGTTTAAGGTTGGGCAACGAGAACGAAGAAAATAAATACAAATAAATAAAAGCACTCGCTCTTGCCTTCATGGTTCCCTGCACGGCGCTACACACGCATCTACTCCTATCCAAATAAATAATATAAAAATATCAAAATAAAAAAAAGATATATCCTAAATTAAACAAAACCGATTCAAAAATATATATAAATCAATCAAAAATTAAAATCCTAAACTAATTAAAATTAACAGCCTACATAATTTAATATCTGAAATTCACATCTTAATTTTTTTATTTTTAGTTTAATTTTCATTTTTGCATTCAACCAAAAAAATAATAACATCGATCCTCTCTACCAATAAATAAATCACACTTATAATCACATTTTAAGTATATACTAAGTTTAATTAATACTAGCACGGGTGTATGCTGTTCATTAATGGCCCATTTTTCAGATTTATATTGTTAAGAAATCAAACTTTATTTATATGTAAACATGTTAACTTTATTTATATGTAAAATTTATTATTTTTATTATTATATTTTTTTTTTATTTTTTCGGATGAATAGTGCGTGAACAGTGTGTGAATGGTGTGTGAACAGTGTGTGTACAGTGCATGAATAGTGTGTGAATAGTGCATGATCAAATTAAGAACATTTACTGTTCATCGATGAACAATTACTGTTCATTGATGAACAACTATTTATTTATTTTATTTATTATTTTTTTAAGAATTGATTTTTAAGTGATTTTTACATTATTTCTTGTTTAAATGTGATTTAAGGGCATATAAAATGGTCAAATATAAACAGAATACAATTAAAAAAAAAGAAGCTTAAATTACTAAAATCACAAAAATATGTAAAAAAAAATAAAATATGTAACAAATACAAAAATATATAAAAGATACAAAAATGTTAAGGGAGTTACCTGATCCTCAGATTGAAGATTGTAAAAGGGATGTTATCGCTGATACCTCAGATTGAAGATTGTAAATGGCCACATTCAACTGTCTTTTTAGAATCTTGCCTAGAAGATTTAGTTGTTCCAAAAGGATTTTAAGTTGAATTTCTTTTATTATTTATTTTTTTTTGTCTACTTTCTTCTCTCGTTTTTATATTCTTAATCACCACTAAAATTAAATATGTTAAAGTTAATTTCTCTTCAAATTAATTCACAAGAAATTTTTTTGGAGAGAAAATTTGAAGATGTGAAGTTTTAGTAGAAATTGTAGTTGTAGATTGTAGTGTGAAATTGTGGCAGAGATGAGGGTATGTTTATAGAGGTTTGGGGATTACGTGTAGCAGTGTAGTACAATACAATGTACGCACGCCACGCTACAGTACGTGTAGCATAGCATCGTAGCACGGCAGGTACAGGTACTGTATATAGTTACGTGTAGCACGCAGTTTCAAATACAGGACCCGGCTTTTTCTGTAAGCACTTTAAAGACCGGATGGAGGCTGAGTGACATGTTCGGGGTTTTGCGTGATTTGGAGAGTTTGAGACAAGGGAAGGATGAAAGCTTTTCTGATTATTATAGGAAGTGGAGAACAAAGCTATACAGGGTTCAGACAAGACCAAAGGATAAAGAGTTGATCAGAATCTTTAGTAGGAGCCTGTTGCCCTTCTTTAAGGAGAGGATGTTAACCCAACCTCTCATCGATTTTTCTCTAGTTCAAAGCGCTGGTTTGAATATAGAGGAGTTGTACAAGGAGGAAAAGAAGAAGAACAGGGGGTTTGGCAATTATCAGACCTCCTATGGTGACAGAAATGTCGGAAGTAGCACGAAGTAGCATCAGAATCAGTCAGCAAGCGAGTAATACAGTGGCGGGCAGTTAATGAACAGGCGTCAGAAGAGAATTCACTGACTTGGGAAGACCCTTGAGTACAGTGCTGAGATCATGTATCAAGAATGGGGTACTTTCAAAGCTGCCAGTCGATCCAACGAAACCTATTCGGGGGAGGTATATGGATCAGAACTGCGACTACTATCAGTGCAAAGGGCACTCTACTGATGAATGTTTCAAGCTAAGACATGACATTCAAAACCTGATCGGGAAGATAACCAAACCTTCCGAGAGAAACAAACCAAGTACGAAGAACAACCCGCTCCCTCAGTACCAGTGCAACTGTCTGCCCCACAAGTCTCAGTCGGGTGGATCAGTTAATGCAATC